ACGTGGGCCTCTCACCGCCGCGGCCCCTCCCGTTGTGGAGCACAGGCTCCGGACGCACAGGCCCAGCGGCCATGGCCCACAGGCCCAGCCACTTCGCGGCACGTGGGATCCTCCCGGACCAGGGCACGAACCCGTGTCCCCTGCATCGGCAGGTGGACTCTCAACCACTGCGCCACCAGGGAAGCCCTTTATTTATTTATTTTTAACATCTTTATTGCAGTATAATTGCTTTACAGTGTTGTGTTAGTTTTTGCTGTATAATAAAGTGAATCAGCTATATGTATGCATATATCCCCATATCCCCTCCCTTTTGCACCTCCCTCCCACCCTCCCTATCCCACCCCTCTAGGTGGTCACAAAGCACCGAGCTGATCTCCCTGTGCCATGCGGCTGCTTCCCACTAGCTATCTATTTTACATTTGGTAGTGTATATATGTCCATGCCACTCTCTCATTCGTCCCAGCTTCTCCATAGTGGCTGTATCAGTTTACATTCCCACCAACAGTGCAGGAGGGTTCCCTTTTCTCCACACCCTCTCCAGCATTTACTGTTTGCAGATTTTCTGATGATGGCCATTCTGACCTCTCATAGGGTTTTGATGAGGAGTAGGTGAGTTCACATAAAGCACTTAGAACAGTGCCAGCACACTGGTGCAGAGCAGCAGTGCTGTATGATGGGTGGAGGGCGGGTGGTAGGTGGAGCCCCACTTTTCCTGCCTCCCCCACTCCCCACCCCATCAACTGTCCTGCCCGCTCTCTCCAGCTCTCTCTTCTCATCAAAGACAGAGGGTCTCAATAGTCACAGTGGATGGAGGACAAGGGAACAGATGGGAGAAGTGCTTATGAGGATGACTAGGCAGGAACTGAAGACAGGTTGGGTGCTGGAGGTGGGGGGCAAGGGAGAGGAAGGAGATCAGAGTGATGCCTGGTTTGGGGCTGGGACAATGGGGGGCTGGTTGTGCTAATCCCGCAATTGGGGGCACTGGAGGAGGGCAGTTCTTTTGTGGTGCGCAGGCTCCAGGGCGCGTGGACTCTGTAGTTTGTGGCACACGGGCTCTCTAGTTGAGGTGTGCAAGCTCAGTATTTGTGGCGCACGGGCTTAATTGCCCCGTGGCATGTGGGATCTTAGTTCCCTGACCAGGGATCGAACCCACATCCCCTGCATTGTAAGGTGGATTCTTTACCACTGGACCACCAGGGAAGTCCTGGAGGGCAATTCTAAGGAGGAAAGGAACCATTTCTTGTTGGATGTGAACTCAGACAACAAGTGTTCCCTGAGCACACACTTCACCCCAGAGCTTGTATCAGGTAACAGGCGCCCAAGGAGAAAGGCTCAGTTTGTGTCCTCAAGGAAGCTGCCAGTGGGATAGGATACGGGAGGCAGATGCATAAGCACATGGAGGCACTAAGGTTTCCATGTTCAGGGCTCCCAGGGCCCCAGAGAAGGGGGCAGTCAGCCTAGACGAGGCCTGGGGACACTGTCAAACATGCCTTCAGGGGGGCTGAGTTTTGGATGGAGCTGTGCGTGGTGAGCTGGGGCTAGAGTGGAGGTGAGAGCCCCGGCAGAAGGGAATACTGCCCGCACAGAGGGGACAAAACAGCCTGAGTCATTCCGTGAATGATGGGCAGCTTGGTTAGAAGCTGGCTGGTGGTAAGAATGTGGGCTAGAGGGTAGGCAGGTGTGAATGAGGCCCCAGAGGCAAACAGGGCCTGAGGTACCCCTTGAGCCAGGGAGTAATTACCCTTACTTCCTCAGCTCCTCCAGATGGAGGAGGTGCGACGGATCCCTGAGGAATACTCTCTGGGGCGGATGGCAGAAGGCCTGAGCCACCAGGACCCCATCATGAAGGTGCTGTCCATCCGAGGCCTGGTCATCCTGGCCCGAAGGACTGAAAAGGTAAATGGAGGGTAGGGGAGAGCCCACCCAGCTAGACCCCTGACAGGAGGAAGGATGGAGCTTGGCCATCCTTGACTCTCCAATACTGGTGGCTGGAATCAGAACTCATTTCTGTCTCTGCCTCAGTTATCCCATCTGTAAAATGTGTATCACTTAATAATTCCCTATATACTTTATTCTTTTTTTTTTTTTTTTTTTTGGTACGTGGGCCTCTCACCGTTGTGGCCTCTCCCGTTGCGGAGCAAAGGCTCTGGACGCGCAGGCTCAGTGGCCATGGCTCACAGGCCCAGCCACTCCGTGGCGTGTGGGACCCTCCCGGACCGGGACACGAACCCGTGTCCCCTGCATCGGCAGGCAGACTGTCAACCACTGCGCCACCAGGGAAGCCCCATTAGCATTATTAAAAGTGCTGTGTTTTTCTCTACCAGGCACTGTTGTTGTAGCTTAGGATTTAGAGGGACAAAGGGACAGGATATAGACTCAGAAAGCTAGCTAACAATGCATGGTATCATCTATATAGTGCCAAGAAGCGGGGAGACAACAAAGGGCCTCAGGTATCCAGGCTAGGAAGGAGTGAGTGAGGCCAAAGAGGGCTTTGGGGACAGCAGGAGCTTGAATGAGGGCATACCAGGCAGGTGGGACAACATAAGCAAAGGCCTGGAGGTGGGACTTGCTTGACCAAGTTCATCTCAGTGAATCAGAGGCTGGGTCTCCCACCTGTTAGCACAGATAGGAGCCCCCATCCCAAATGCTCCTTCTCCACAGACCACCAAGGTGCAGGCCCTCCTGCCCTCCATGGTGAAGGGTCTGAAGAGTGTGGATGGGCTGCTGGTGGTGGAGGCGGTCCACAACATCAAGATCATATTTAAGGGGCAGGACCGGAAGCTGATGGACAGCTCGGTCTATGTGGAGATGCTGCAGATCCTGCTGCCACACTTCAGTGATGTAAGGAATCCCATGGGGGTGGGAGGATGGGGTGGGGTGGCACCCGGAGAGAAGTTCTTTGCTGCTCTGGGAGTTGCAGTAGCTCCCACAGCCTGTTGGGACCTGTGCGAGGCCGAGTCAGCCCAGGGGAAGGGGCACTAGTCCCGACTGGTCCTGGTCTCTTTGTAACTGGTTTGCACAGAGAACGTTCCTTTTCTAATTAGTTCTCACAGAGGGAGGTCTTTTTGCGTCATCAAGTTTCCCCAGAGACTTGCCTCACTGTGATTGGTCCACCTAGAGGGGTCGCTGTTTTATGATTGGTCGCAGCAGAGGGGGGCATTTTCCCACTTGGCACGAAGGCACATTTTAGGCTAGTGGGGGCCCTGGCTGGGAAGAGTGGGCAGAGCTCCAGACCTAGGCTTTGCTGAGGGAGACGCCAGCCCCAGATAGGCCCACCAGGTGGCCTTCACTGTTTTCCGTCTCTGTGTGACTTGAGCCTGGAGGGGCCCTCAGAATGAGTGGAAGGAAGGCCATGTGCCTCCATGTGGGGCACAGAGGCCCAGGCAGCCTCCTGGAAGACGGAGCATGCCTGAGCCTCTGGATCTGCCCCAGTCACGAGAGGACGTGCGCTCCTCCTGCATCAACCTGTACGGCAAGGTGGTCCAGAAGCTGCGGTCGCCCCGCACCCCAGCCGTGGAGGAGCAGATGATCAGCACCTTGGTGCCCCTGCTGCTGACCATGCAAGAGAGCAATGCCAAGGTGAGCCAGGTGAGTGTGCACGGCCCTGAGCCCAACCTAGAATCACAGATGATCCATCACCGGACAGTTTATTGATGTCTGGCCAAGTCTGTTTACCAAAGGTACCCATGTCAGTATTTCTCTTCAAAACAGCCAACTTCACTTGCATGTTTCAAATAGGAATTGCTTTTCCAAAATCCAGTTTCATACAGTTTTTTTGGGGGAACACGTTCCGGCTGTCCTGGAATTCCACAGCTCTGGTGTTCTCTTCCTGTTGGCCCCCAGAAATATGTGAAGACCCTGTTCCACTCTTCTTGCTTCATGGCTTGGGAATTGCCAAAAAGAGCTTACAGTCGGAAGCCCTGGGACAACCAGCAGCAGATGGTGGCCAAAATTTGCAAGTACCTTGTGAGTGCTTCCAAGACTACCGTGGGTCCTTATGAGTGTGTTGGAGGTGGCAGTTTCTTTCCTTGCCTCTTTTTTCTTTTTACCTGAGCATCCTTACTGACAATTCCATGACCACCTACAAGTCGTTGGCTCCTGGAAGTTCATCTTTGTCTCTCACTCCTCTCTCCACTTCTGGTGTTCCCTCTCCATGGCTTACCGACATCTCCCCCAATGAACCACACACACCTTAAGCTCAGCATCTCTTCTGAACTTATGCCTATCCCATGTCAGTTCTGCTCTGTCCCTCTAGATCCCCAAAAGCTGAAACCTAAAACTAACTGAGGCTTATTCCTCTCCCTCACCTTCACCTTTGATCAATCTTAAATATCCTTAATACCTCTGATTCTGTCTTTCCCTCCCCCTCCCCACTATCATTACCCTTAGCTCAGGTCATGGATGTCTCTCAGCAGGGCCATTGGTCCAGCCATCCAGTGGGTCCCCAAGCCTTGAATCTCATTCCCTCCAGTCCACTCCCCATTCAGGCCACCAAAATGGTGTGGTTAAAACACAGTCTGTCTATATTATATCCCTGCTTGAAGGGCTCCATTGGCTCCCTTTTCTACAACAGTAATTCCCAGTGTGTATTCTTTGCAACACCAGTCCTACAAGATATGCCCCACAGGGGAGAAAAGAAGTTCCAAGACAAATAAGTTCGGGAAATACTGCGTCGTCATCTTCCTCTTGGGGATTTGCAGTGCCATCGGTACATTAAAGCTCTGAGATGTTCTGTGCTGAGGAAATGTTTCATGGTTAATTCATGGTTTCCCAAAGTTATTTAACCACAGAACTCCCTGTCGAGATAACACCTGAGAACATCCTGCAGTAGGAGAGAGCCATATATACAGTGAACTCCTGCACTGCAGGATGCAGCCTGGTTCCTCCACATACAATTTGGGAAGCTTTGCCATCTAGTCCCATCTACCTTCCCTGTTGTTATGGGCCGCGTCCCCCAGGATGCAGACTCTGAGGCAGAGATTGGCATGCAGGAGGTTTATTAGGGAGCACCCTTGGGATCGGTCCCTGTGGAAGGAAGGGCAGAGGGCAGGAGTGGCAGAGGGAAGAGTCAAGCTGCAGTGTAGTTTCAGGGGAAGTCTCAGCCAACACTATGCTGAGATACCTCACACTGGAACTAGGGGTCAGGTTTCCACATAGACTGAGCCGTCTGTCAGTTTCCGGTTCTGTCCCTTGAAGAAGGTCTTGAGGTTGTGGACTGCCCTGTCATTGGATGCCAGCCCGCCTGGGAAGAGACATGACTTTGGGCCAGCAGTTCTCTTCCACCAAAGCAATCTGTACCTGGGGGAATAAATCCTTTACACCCTAAGGGAGATCTGGCTGGGGCCTACAGCATCCCCATTCTCCCACCAACCTAACAAAAATATACAAAGTAACAGATTGTTACTTTGCAACAATAACCGTTATCAACAATGCTCAAAACTTCTGCAATCCAGTGCCTAATATTTTACCTCATTTTACAGAGGGAAAAAAGCCTGGAGGAAGTGTTTGACCAGGGTCGCTAATTCAAATACTTACCATGACCTGTGACTGTGCAGATTATAAGTGACGTGGAGGTGGTAGGGCTGTGACAACCTGGAGCGCCCAGGCTCTGTTTTTTGTTTTTTTTTTTTAAGCATTGGTTTTATTTTTTTTTCCTTCTTAAAACAAATATTTATTTATTTAGACTGTGCCAGGTCTTAGTTGCGGCAGCAAGGTGTTAGTTGCAGCATGCGAAGTCTTCGCTGTGGTATGCAGGATCTTTTAGTTGCGGCATGCGGGCTCATAGTTGTGGTATGCGGGCTTCTTAGTTGCGGCATGCAAACTCTTAGTTGTGGCATGCATGCGGAATCTAGTTCCCCAACCAGGGATCGAACCCCGGGCCCCCTGCATTGGGAGTGCAGAGTCTTACCCACTGGACCACCAGGGAAGTCCCCCCAGGCTCTGTTGAAAGCACAAGTGGAGAGCTCCAGCTCACCATGCAGCCCACTCTCACCAGGGCCTCCAGTTTCACAAGAAAATCTAGATTTTTATAAGATATTAATTAACAATCAATTTAGCTTATTTAAAACACTGTGCTGGCCGCTGCCCTGCCAGGCACTTGTGGCTTGTGGGCTTCCAGCTTGTGACCTCTGCATTAAACCCTTCCGGATTCTCAGTCTCTTCTTTGCCCTCCAGGCATCAGCAGCTCTGCTCATATGAAGGTCAACCTCTAGCCTTAGCTTTAAGAAGGGGTCCGTAACCTAGTCATTCATTCATCCAACACTTTCTGGGCACCTGCGCCATGCCAAGCTCTGTCCAGGGTACTGAGGACTCTGAGCTGAGTGAGCTGGCCCCTTCTTTTGGGGGAACACCAGATTCAGTGGGGGAGATAGGTATAAATAATTATAGGCCAATGTCATAGGTGCCATGACAAAGGCTGTGCAACATGCTATGGAAATGTCAAGAGTGGTGGGATCAGCTTTGCCTGAGGCTTGTGGAAAGCTTTGGGGAGGAGCTGGTTTCTGAGCTGAGCACCAAAGAATGAGAGGGAACTCATCAGGAAGGAAAGAGGGAAAGGCACTCCAGTCAGGAGCAATGGCTTCTACCAGGTACAGATCTGGGGAGAGCTGGGCCATGACTGGGACCGGAGCATGGTGTGCATGGAGGTGGTGATGGAAGTTGACACTGATTTGCCCACCAGGCCCAGGAGTTTACTCCCTGACATGCAGATTGTCAACAGGAGAGTCATCAGATAAGATTTCTCTTCATCTCCCTCAACAGTCTCTTAGCAGATTGCCTGCCCCCTAGTTTCTACTTGATCACACCCAACCTGAACATCAATGTCAGACTATTTTGCCCAAAACATTGTTTTGTCATTGCCCTATTAAGAATGAGTGCTGGCTTCGTATTTTCTAATGCATAAGGAAGCCCTATTCCTATCTGGATTTTAAGGACTTTTAAGACCCTCCTAAGTCTCTAGTTTATTCCCCACTGCTCTGTAACTTGAATCCTTTACCTTGGTCAAACCTGTCTCCTTAGTCATGTCCCTCGCATGCCATGTCCATTCTCAGCTCTGGCTGGACTTGCATTTACTTTATTTTTTAAAGTATATATATTTATTTATTTTTAATTTATTTTTGGCTGTGTTGGGTCTTCATTGCTGTGTGCGGGCTTTCTCTAGTTGCGGCGAGCGGGGGCTACTCTTCATTGCAGTGTGCGGGCTTCTCTTTGTGGTGGCTTCTCTTGCTGCAGAGCATGGGCTCTAGGCACACGGGCTTTAGTAGTTGTGGCACGTGGGCTCAGTAGTTGTGGCTCGAGGGCTCTAGAGCACAGGCTCAGTAGTTGTGGTGCAGACCAGGGCTCGAACCCATGTCCCCTGCACTGGCAGGTGGATTCTTAACCACTGTGCCACCAGGGAAGTCCCTGGACTTGCATTTTAGAACTTACCTTCCGGCTGTAGCAGGTGGGTGGATTGGAAGAAGAGACAACCAAGGCAGGAGGACCATTGAAATGACTGTTGCAATCAGCTAAGAGAACATGAGGCCTGGCCTCTGGGAGAGTCCAGAATGGGTAGCAGAGACGTTTAGGAGGCAAGGAGCCAGGATCCGACTGCCTGACATGGTCCCCGTTCCTAGCTTTGGGAGGGGTGGATGGGTAGTCCCTCTGAGGGCCCAGCACTCTCAGGTTTCTCTTTGTCCCAGGTGGACACCCATCAAGACAGCGCCTTCACGTTCCTCAGCCAGAGCCTGGAGTACACCAAGAGTTCCAGGGCCTCCCTCCGGAAGTCCTCGGTCATGTTCATAGGTAACCTGCCCTAGCAGAACTAGTCCTACTGCTTCCTCCCCTTGGAAGGAAGCTGCGGCCCTTCCGGCACTGGGTGGATGCCTCCCCTTGGGTGCAAGCCTTGGCCAGCAGACGGCCTTGGTATAAATTAGAAAGGTGTCCCCTCCTCTGAGATCACTGCTTGGGAAGTGAGCCAAGGTCACAGCCTTGGCATCTGTACGCAGAAGTGCTGCGTTCCCCCTGAGTACGGTGGGGTCCAGGCCCAGCAGGAGCTTGCTGTTGACCTCGGCAGGAGGCGCCAAGCTGCACAGTGGAAAAGTGAGCTAGGATCTCAGCTCCATGATCCCCTTTCTGTGTGACCCCAACTGAGTCATTTACTCCCACTGAGGCTCCTCTGTAAGATCTGTAAGATCATCGGTAAGATGGGGATCAACTCCTACTTCATGGACCGGATGAGAATATTTTTTGCGTGTGTGAACACTGGCAGATAAAGGTGCTCCCTCAGTGTTAGTCACCTTCATCCTTCTTTCCACAGTCCCGACCTCTGCCTTTCTGGGGGAAAAACCATAGATTCCCCTCGCTCAGGGTCCCCCCATAGGACCCGTCTGATGGCATGCTTTCTCCTCTCAGCTACCCCCCTCCCCTCCGCTCTCTGAAATATCCACACACCCTTCAAGGATCAGGAGACCCTACTGCAGAGAGGCTTGGAGAGGATGACGTTCCCAGCCCTCCACCTTGTAAAGCGATGTTTCTTTTAGTACCTTCGCCCAATTCACTTGCAGTTTTTCATCCATCCTGTCATCCATGCATGCATTCATTGGCTTATGCCGCAAACATTGATTGATCCTCTTCTCTGTCTCAGGCACTGCGCTTAGCCTAGAGAAACACAGAACTTTTCAGGAGGTGATGCTGATGTTTGGGGGTGGGGAGGTGTAGGGGTGGCTCTTAACGTGATCAGTTCCGGGACATATGAGTGATGCCCAGGACAGGGGGCAATCCCTCAGGCTGTGGGGACCGGCTCAGGGACATCTTCTCACACAGAGTGACATTATTTCTTAAATTTTGACTTCTCTAAAATCTCACTCCAAATTAATCACTTCTAAAAATGTTGGTGTTTAACACCCTGGGAGTCTTCTCTGTGTCAGGGCCTGTGCTGGGAAAAGAAAGCTGGGTAGCACCTGCATCTGCCCGCAGACAGCTCCTAGCGTGGTGTTTTGATTCCTAACCTCTTGCGGGTTATGGATCTTTTGTGAGACCCCGAAGAAAGTTATGAGCACTTTCCCTAGAAAAATGCATATAAGCATACACTCAGAGACCATCCTTTCTACTCCCCCGTCCCCAGTGGATCTAAGCTGAAGAAACCCCTGGTCTGGTGGGAGATGTTCACGAATCACAAGTAAAATACAACACAGTATATACAAGTAGAGAGAAACTCAGAGAGTCTGGGAACCCAGAGAGGCATTTAACTAGCTTGGGGGCAGGGTCAGGAAAAATTTCCTGGAGGAGCGACTGTGTTAAACTGAATATTCAAGGACAAATAGGAATTAGCCAGGCACAGAAATGTGGGAAGGGCCTCTTGAGAGGTCCGGCTCATTCACGGATCCACAGGTACTTTAGGAGCTGGGCATGCAGGCTGGGAGCAGGGTAGGCCTGAGCAGTGTGGCCGAGGAGCTGAGTCTCAGCCCCTCCCGGGGCCCCACCAACCACCTGCCCGGAAGGTATGCGAGGCACTTGGTACTCTTCCTGTTACTGTGGCTCAAACTCCCTGGAGGAGGGGGTGCTGAGGCAGCACCTCCCTGAGTCTAAGGACACTAAGGACCAGCCTGGGGAAGAGACCACCTAGGGCCACCTCTCAGAGTCAGCTGCCGCCCAGCTGCTGCTCCTGTCCTGGTGCCACCCCTGCCTGCTGGACCTGCCACCTCTCCTAGGAATCTGTGTCGTAGGGAATCTGTCCCAGGTCAAGACAAAGTTCTCTTTTTGTGTCCTTACTTGTAGGGCTGGAAGAGGGTAGGGAGAGCTTTTCTGAGGGGGTCTGGTCCAAAGGTGGGGGTCGGAGTCAGGGGGTGGAGGCACTCACCTCTCAGATTATGCTCAAGTGTCCCTGGTCCCCTGCATGGAGAGCATCATGACGGAAGATCATCTGAATGAAGTTAAAGCCGGTAAGTCCTGCCCTGCGTTGGTGAGATTTCAGGGGCCAGTGAGGGAACGAGTAGGCTCACAGTGGGTAATGGGAAAGGGAAGGGTTGTGTCCCAAGGCCAGGGGTTTTAGCTCAGTCCAACTGTGCTGGTATTGACCCAGGCAAGTACATGTTAAGTACCGTGGAGTCACCAAGACACAGACACACAACCCCACCCTAGGGGAGCCTATGATCCAGGAAACGAGGCTCAGAAAATAAGACCAAAAACCATTTAGTGTAGAGCAAGTAGTTCAGACTCTTAAGGGAGCACGTAAATTTTGTAACTGGGGAAGCTGATGGGAGCATGAAGGTAGGCTGGGGTAGTCCAAGAAGGCTTCCCGGAGAATGCACGTTTTGATTCAGGCTTCAAAAGGCATGAACAATTTGAAGAGCTGGGAGATGAGGGTATGCTGGGCAGAGTGCTAAAGCCAAGGCATGAAGGGAGAAGGCTGAGGTGTGAGTCTCATGGGTGGACCTGGTCTTAACAAGCGACTTCTCTCCTCCCCATAACTCAGCTCTGGAAAACTTGAGACACGACCCAGAAGCATCAGTGTGCATCTACACGGCTCAGGCCCAGGACAGCATCCTGGCCAGCTGCTGGCGGAACTCTTGGCCACTGCCACATGGGGACTCTTGGGCGTGTGACCCGGCTACCATGCACCACTGGAGCCCTAGCTGTGAGAACCTGCCCACTTCCCACCAGCGGCGCTCCTGGATCATGCAGGTGCTGGGTTCCTTGAGGATGTCCTTGAAGCAGTGATGTCCCTGAGCCCCCAGCCCTCCTTGGAGGTGGCCATGGCCCCAGCCATGCTCACTATAAATGCCACGTGTTTTGCCTCTCCTCACGGAATGTTTCCTATGAGATGAGCATGGCCTTAATCATTGAGTCAGTCAACATTTACAGATGGACATAGTCTGTCCTGTCCACATATTATAAGTGGGGAGGCTGAGGCTCAGAGAGGTGGTATGGCTTGCTCAAGGCCACACAGTAAGTCTGCTAGATGTCTCAGGTTCCCCTCCCTCACAGGGAGAGAATAAGAACAAAAGGAGATGATGATTTGGGTAGCCTTTGGAGGAGGAAAAGAGAACCCCCTCCACCCCATGATATCATGCATATCCCAGAATCCTGATCTCTGAGTCTCACCCTCCAGTCTTTGCCCAGCAAAGTCTTTGCCCAGCAATTGGCCACCACTCAGTAAATATTGCAATTCGGGCAATATTTACTGAGCACCTAACCTGGGCCAGGCCTGCTCTGGGTGCCAGAGATACAGATGTGAATGAGTCCCAGCCCCAGGCCCTGGGCAGTTCATAGTCTGATGCAGTGGTTCTCAACTGGGGGTGATTTTGGCCAGGTCTGAAGACATTTTTGGTTGTTACAACTTGGGGTGGGAATATTATTGTCATTAGCGGGTAGAGGCCAGGGATGCTGCGAAACATCCTACAGTGAACAGGGCAGCCCTACAGCAAAGACTCATCCACCTCAAATTGTCAGAAGTGCTAAGGTTGAGAAACTTTGGCCTAATGGAAGTATCAGAGACATATAAAGACACGAACAGCCCAGCAGGTCAATGCTGTGCTGAGCGGCAGCATAGGGGCTGTGAAGTCCAGAGGAGGTACATCAGCCAGCTGGGGGTTGGAGTGTCAGGGAAGGCTTCCCAGAGAAGAGACGTCCCCTCCAGGGGGTTTGGAAAGATGACCATATGACAGGCGTGTATGGAGAAGAGCAGGGCACATGGGACCAAGAGCCAACCAACTACAGATTCATAGGTGCCCTGGAGCCCAGAGCGGGAAGGAAGAGGAGGACAAGGGCTGGGTCAGTATGGCCTTGGAGGCTGTGTAAAGGAGGAAGACTTCAGAGTCTGGGAAGGCATGGTGGGAAGGGGAGAGGCAAGCAGTGGGGAGATGTGGGCAGGTGTCTGCTTTAGAAAGCTCCCTCCTCGTGTGCATACAGGCACTGCTGATAGGAGGGCAGATGGTAACCATTCTGGACAGGAATCTGTCACTCTTCAGTCATATTAGGTTTATGCATGCCCGTAACTCAGCAATTCCACTCGTGGGCACACGTGTCAGGGAAATATTCCCATAGGTCCATAAGGGGAGACGTATGAGGAAGTCTTAGTGTTATCTGTGGTGCAAGGCAGAGGAGGCAGCCTGAGGACCCATCTTCGGGAAGTGAATGGGCACTCTGGAGTCCCACGCAGCAGTTAGGGGCGGTAGGGGTACATGTAGCACCATGGATGGGACCTAAAACCTAGTGCCGAGGGAAAAAACTATATAAAACATATGCACAAAAGAAGTTGCATCTTGCAAGGACACTTACAAACTGAAAATGTCCATTAAAACACATTAGAGTGATAGGAGTGGGAAAGGAGGAGGGCTCTGGAGCATAAAAGGGAATAAATCAGAAAACAGAGAGGAAGAAAGCCCATGCAGGAATGGAGGGAAAGTGCTGGGTCGGGGGAGTGGACAAGAGCACAGACAGGGAGACCCGGCTAGAGGCTTTCGGGGCCTGGCAGGGGCCTGGGCTGCAGTGCAGGATGGAGAGGGTGACTGGACCTGTGGGAGATTGAGGAAGGAGAATTTTCAGAATCTGGTGGATGACAGGAGGGAGAGCAAGACGTCAGGATGGTGCCCAGGTTTCTGGGTGGATGACTAGGCCAATGGTGTCCCCCACTGAGCGTCCCTCAGGACCAGGAGCAGGTTGGGGGAGGGGTGAGTTCAGTCTGGACATGGTGAACTTGAGGGGCTTGTCTGCCATGCTAGTGGAGACCACCCCCAGGTGCTGGCTGCATGCAGGAGGGATCTGAGATGGAAACAGATTTGGGATTCATCTGTGCACAGGTGTGAGCTGAGATTCCCTGGGTGAGTGTGCAGAGCAGGAAGAGACGTAAGCCTGAGGGGCACCTACATTTAAGCTCCTGCTGGGGATGAGGAACCCACGAAGTTGACCACACAGTCATCTCCCAATAAATGTAGGCCAAGGCCATCAGGATTCTGGGCCTGAGAGAGTAGGAAATGGGGTGGTCATTTTGCATAACCTTGTCCATTGCCAAGAATGTTCACGAGCATTGCCTCATTTGAATCTCACAGTAGCCATATGGAATTAAGGGGAAGGCAGGTTGGCTTCATTGCCCACATTCTCCAAATGAGGACAGGGCTCAAAGACGGTGGGTGTTGTCCAATATCATGCCAGGAAGCAATAGAAGTGTGGATCCCAAAGGCCTCCCAACTCCCATGCTTGAGCTCTTTCCACCTAGAGACACTGCCGTTTTCATTGGCCCGCATCCTGGTCTTGGTGGCCTTGATAAATAACAGCCACCTATTCTGGGTCTGGGTGGTCTTGAAGCACAAAGGAGTCTGATAGGCTCAATTATTGGCCAAGGCCCCCAAGTAGTCTCGAGTTGGAAGGGTCAAAGAGCACATCCCTTCTCTGAACCTTCCCTACCATCACCTAAAATCTTACAGGATTTTATAGGAATCACATTTAAAAAAGGAAGAAAAAGACTTTGTAGGCTCTGTATTCAGGAAGGGAAAATAAATAAAGAGAATAAAAGGGAATCCTTAGGGAGCGGGCTAGAGGAGGAAGTGTGGAAAAGGAGGTTTGGATTTAGAGGAAAGGGAGCATTTGGACCAGGTGTTCTGCTGGGTGTGGGTGAGGTAGAAAGGAAAAGACACACAGTCCTGGCCCTGGAAAGCTCCACGTGTCATCCTTAGCCCTGCTGTCTGTCTCATCCTCGTGTCAAATAATGAGCAAGCCTGCCAGCTCTGCTTCTGGGCTTCAGATCTCGTTTCTCCCTTGGACTCTCACCAGCATTCTCCTTGTCAATCTCTTAATCCAGACTCCCCCATCAATCCTTCACCTGGCAACCCAGGCCTTCCTAAGACAAATTTGCCCATAGGTCTGTCAGTGGCTCACTGTCCTCCGCAGGATAAAGGGCTACAGGGCAGTCAGGACCTCTGGCCCCCACCCACCTTGCTGGCCTTCCTCTTAACTCTTGCGGTAGCCAGCATGCAGGCTGTTGCCCACACGCGTGTGTCTGCACATGGGCTCCCACTGCCTAAAATGCCCAACTTCCTTTCAGCCCCCATCCATCTGCAGAGATAGTCCTCATCTCTGCTCCCAGGTCTGTGTCACCTCCTCTGTGAAACCTCCCTGAACCCCCGAGGGAACACCCACTCCTCTGCGCCTCCACTGCACAGGCTTGTGGCCAGCTGGGGTTTAGATTGGTCTGCCACCTGCCTGTCTTTCCTTCTAGACTAGGCTGTGAGCTGCCAAGACTGTAGCACCCGATGCAGGGCCCAGCAGCCAGTTGCTGGGTAACCCCGGGGTTGCAGGAAGGCTTACCTGGCCCGGAGGCCTTGTTCCCATCTGAGCTGTGGGGACTGAGGGTAGAGATGGTTAACCTCAGAAACAGAGTGTGAGTACATCACTCCTTTCCTCAGAACTCTCCAGAAGGTCCCACTGCACGCTGAGGAAAACCCAAACGCTCAGACTCACAGCCCATTATCCCTCCCACCTACCTTCTGCTCACAATCCTTGCTGCACCACCCGAGCCCGGCCCTCTCTGTTCCCTCCATGGGTAATGCTCTTGCGCAGACAACCCCCAGCCTCTTCCTTTGCTTGAATGCCTGCCCACCCTGTTTAAAACTTTTCTTCCATAGTCCTTGCTACCACCTGACAAGCTCTCACATCTTATTTGTTTGTCTGTCTCTCTCCTCCACCTAATCAACCCCTAGAGGGCAGGGATTTTACCTGCTTTGCCTAGCGCTGTATACCCAGCGACTAGAACAGGCCTGGAACACGGAAGGAGCTTAGGAACTATGGGTTGACTGAACCCACGACCCCAAAAGTACTCGGGAGGGCGCGGCGGGGCCGGTGCTTCCCGGGGTAGGGGTGGAGTCGGGTCGGCCACGCCCCCAGAAAGGCGGAACCAGAGGCACAAGGGCCGGCGCAGCCCGGAAGATTGAAGGAAGGGCACTCACGCCGCCGGAA